GCCCCCCCCCCCCCCCCCCGACCGAGAGAAAAAAAATACTAAGTAATCATCCCGTAAGACTCAGCCTCATATATTAGCGCTCTTTGTTTGTCGTGTGTGCGGAGGGCCGGATTTGCCTTGATTTACAGTGGAGTTGGTTCATCGTGCAATTGCAATCATACCAAATGGCGAAAAAAAGCTTGCACACGCGAGCCTTTGTCTACCACACGAGCCGGTTGACCTGGGCATCGTGACGGTGCTGTTCGCAAATGCCCTTGGTGCTGTTCAACGCAAACACATTTTTATGTTTCCCGTAGTCACATTTATCTAATCACCTACGCGCTGCCACCAACAAGTCAACAACCCGCACGAGCGCAAACGATACATGCATCCCAACCTCCGATCCTCTTCAACTCAAATATTTTTTTTCCCCGTGAACAGGTCTGCGGCCTGAGCTGGTCCCCGGACGGCAGCACCCTCGCTTCCGGCAGCAACGACAACACCTGCTGCCTGTGGGACGCCTCGGTCGGGACGGGCCGCTTCTCCACCGCGGCGCCGCGCTTCACCCTGACGGAGCACCAGGCGGCCGTGAAGGCCCTCGCGTGGTGCCCGTTCGAGCGCAACACGCTTGCTACGGGCGGGGGCACCGCCGACCGCTGCATCAAGACGTGGAACGCCCAGACCGGCGCGCTGCTCAACTCGGTCGACACCGGCAGCCAGGTGCTCTCCCTGCTCTGGTCCACCACCGAGAAGGAGCTGCTCTCCAGCCACGGCTACGCCGAGAACCAGCTCTGCCTATGGAAGTACCCGTCCATGGTCAAGACGAAGGAGCTGTCCGGGCACACCTCTCGCGTGCTCCACATGGCGGCGTCCCCCGACGGGCGCACCGTGGTGTCTGGCGCCGGCGACGAGACCCTGCGGTTCTGGGACGTGTTCGCGCCCCCGTCCAAGTCGTCCTCCGACGGCGGCGCCGGTGGCCGCGGCAGCGCCGCAGGGAAGATGCTCTCCGGGGGGCACATGAGCGTCAGGTGAGTGGTAAGTGCGGGCCGCACAACACGCAAGGTGAGAAGAGGCGCGTGCATTTGATTGTTGTTACGGCTGCTGGGTTTGGTATTGGCTTTGTTTACCTGTGCCCTTTGTGTCTGTGCGTGGATTGTGCGGCCGTTCGTGAGGCCGTTCGTGTTACGTGGGTTGTATTTAGATGGGGTTGGGTCCGCGGTGAAACTGTGTGCGGCCCCCTCCCAACCAAACCCGAGTTGTGTCTTGGAGACTTCTTTCTGATTTTGCGTCATTGTCTGTGTCCATCCGCTGCTGTATGTGTACAAAGATGTACACTTGTTTTCGTCGTTCAATTACGAAGTAGTACGCGTTCTGCTTTCGGGGGTTTCATTTCCAATTTCTTTCCTTGTGCCGTGCGTGTCTTGTGCTCGTCGGCGCTGGGGGCCTTGGCCTCATCATTTTGCCGGCGTGCATGTGCTTGTTGCGTGCGTGGTGTTCCGTTAGAGCGGCGTTGTTCAGCCTATCCGATCCGAAAAGTATGTGCGCGCGTGCGGTCTAGGTAGCTTCCGGGTCAGTTGTTCCTCTCGCTGGAGCATCTGTCCAACCCCCCCACAGTACACCAGAGAAAATATGCCAGGCGGAATGGCTGCCTGGGCACGTGTTTCTCGACACGACCAGTGCTTGCCTCCCCCGCCACCTCTTTTTGTGTTGTTGTGACGTGTTGCGTGTTTGGAGTGGCTCCCGCTACCAGTGCCATTGATCATAACATGGGTAACACCTCCTTCGCAAAGTCGCATTTTTTACGACGACCTGTGACTGTTCCGGGTGGTGGCTGGCTGCCGTAGTGTGGTCCATCCGTTAGACCACTGCACACGGATCCCTGCCCCCCGCCGCCTCTTGAGTTTCTTTCTTTTTTTAGGGCAGTCGTGATGGGGGGGCGAAGTTTTTTGGACATGACCACTGCGCGGCTCTGTCCCCGCCCCTCGAGACAATTCTCATGGTATCTTTCGTTTTTCCTTTTTATAATGGCAGTGTTGAGGAGAAACGCATCAATGCGTGCTTCGTCCCCGCAACCCTGTCACGAAGAAAAGCGTGTTTTACGGCGATTCTTGGCCGGGGGGTACCGGCGATTCTTGGCCGGGGGGTACCAGCTGTTGCTCCTCTGTCTCTCTCTCTCCTATCTCTCTGTCTGAACTGATTTGTATCGTTTGTGCGAGGTGTACAGGTGCACCTTTGCCTTTGAGGCCTGGGCTTGAAAAATGCGTCGAGAAACATGAGCACCGATCGCCCTCGCCCTCCACGTACCCCTTCGACTCCGTGCTGTTGCCTG